ATTTATTTTTTTAGCTGTATTTCATATATGTATTGCTGTTCGATCATCACAGCATACAATGTGTACTTTGAATCGCCAGAGACACTAATCTCAAAAAATGGGTGCTATACATACATACTAGACGCTTGTAAAAATAGTCTGACAAGCTGACCAATGTCAGTATGATACAAACTGATTCTAGCAGTAGGAATCGAGGTAATTCAAACCCACATTGAACAGAGGACAGAGTCAATGTTATTGATAACTGAACACTCGTTTTTCTTCATATCCACTTTCTTGATGATTTGCAATAATTTATATAGAACTCGCATCCATGAACGATGATGCTGCAATTTAAGTTCTTGCTCTGCAAGGAAAGTGTAACAGGCAGAGTTTAGTCTCATTTTTTTTAACCTGATCAGACAGCACCTCTCCTGAAAACCCGTTTTCCTTCACACATTCGCTGAATGTCATTACGGGTACAGTGTTACATACATATCTTAAAGTACATAGAGTATGTGAATTACTCCTTGATTTCTTGATAATGTGAGAAATCGCCAATGGCATAGCTATTTTTGCACGTGTAGGCAAGCACACGCGCGAGTGCGCAGCGCGCGCGCGCCACACACACAACACACACACACACACACACACACACACACACACACACACACACACACACACACACACACACACACACACCACACACACACACTCACACTCACACACACTCACACACACACACTCACACACACTCACACACCAACACACTCACACACACACACACACACACACACACTCCACACACACACACAACACACTCACACACACACTCACAACACACAACACTCTCTCACACACACACACCCACACACACACACACACACACACACACACACACACACACACACACACACACACACACATAAGATATATAAAAATATACACAGCCGGTTATTATTACTTTCTGGATGAAGAAGTCAGTCATTAGCATTACATAGAAATGTGGGCAAGGTAATACCCGTAAAACAAGGACATGATCTATGTAAAAGGTAGAGCTCAGGGCCATCCACTTAGAAACACTGAGTCCTTGTGGTGGTGTAGGGCAGAGGTGATCACCTGGGAGGTTGTATATAAGACGTGGACAACACACGCGAGCACTCGAGACCTCGATTTCCAGCATCCTGAGACACTTTTAAGGTCACGGTGGCAGAAGTCATAATGCTTGTCTCAGCAATAAACACTGCACTTGATGCTACAGGGTTTAGTATGTATTAACTATATATTAACTATCATCAAATTAGTGGTATACAGTACTGACACGTGGATGAATAAGGCACATGTACAGCAGCTGTTTCTTGTCGAAATGCTTCACCTACTCAGCAGACTCCTACAATAAATACACAGGTGACTTTATTACTGAAGGTAGCTGAAGCATTGGCAGCAGAAGCGGTGAAATACGTCATCATTTCTTCTCTCTCCAGTATCTGTCACCTCTGTATTTGATTGTAAGAGCTTCCACAATAAAGATAAACAACTGCTGCAGATGTGTCTTACTCACCCATATCGACTATTATTAGAAACTGTGTTTTAATGTTTCATATATGTACAAAAAGTAATTGCAGATAAATTATATCATCTATGGTGATGGAGGAGAAGACCGCAAAAAGCGTAGGGGTTATCCAGTGCATTGGGAAATGGGAAACAATCAGGTTCGATAGAGGAAAATGGGAGATCTCAAAGTAGGGATGGAACTCTTAAATATTTATATAACAAGACATGTGTATTACCCATGCTTATGTGAGTACTATGCCTGATTGTTCACTCATTGTATTTGATCAATGGAAGAAACGTCTTTCAGATGTTGCACATGTGTCTTATTCATTGGGGGTCAATTTCTTCCAGTTTTATTGAATGAATTTGGGGAAATTTAAATGCAGGTTTTCCCGATTACCTGCAAACATTCAGTGCCGACTACTTATAAAATACGGTTTCTGAGTGACTTTAAACTTCAGGTGCTGGTGCATTTTGGAATACTGATCTCCGTGAGATAACTAGAGTATGTTCCTTCTAATTAATATTAAAATCTTTCATAGTGTATCTTAGTGGAAGGTTCATATCATTCTGTGGCTGCCTATGTTGGTTCCAGTATGTTGTTTTTATTGATGAAATTGGGGGATATCCGTTTACATTTGATAACCTGTAAATGTTTCTGGTTGCCTTCCACTTTTCAGTGTTGACATTTAGCTACATTAGAAACTTATGCATCCCATCTTACTAATCCTCTTGCGTTTATTAAAATAGAGATGGCTAGGCCTGTTGGATATTAGGACAACTTTCAAGGGACACTAAAACAGAGGGGTTGGGGCGGCTAGGCTTCTGGGATACGGGGAAACCTTTCTCGGATCACATCAATCAGAGACATCTAGCAAACATAGTAGGAGAGTAATCCTAGAAACAAAAATAGTAATCAGTAGAGACCTTAAATGGGACTTGGCTCTTTTTCTCAGTTAAAACTAAGTGAATTGAATACCGTACTTAATATTGTTTCTAAAACCCCATCAAGGTCTATATTTCTGAAATACAATTAAATAAATAAATAATTATATGCAGTTAATTACACTGAACTGCAGATCAATTAGAAAAAAAAAAGCTTGCCTTAGCCAATAACATTACGATTCAAGTGACATTTTACATAACACAAATTACAATACTTTACATATTAAATATATTACTGTCTTTCTGAACTTGATTTCAGTTAAAAAACACATTAATATAATACAGTAATATAAGAAAAGTAACATTATTATGCATGGATAATTTTACAGTGTCAGCTGACTATCATATTATAGCCTGACAGTAAAGTGAAATTTACTGAACCACAAAATAAAATCAATTATAATCATTGGTAGCCTTAATGGATCAAATTTATTATCTCCGCACTAACTGGACATGTGAGCATTGATTATAACCAAAACTGAACAGACTTGATACAAAGATCACTGTCATACATAAAAATCCTATCATTGTTAAGAAAAAGAAAGAAAGAAGATGTTCAAATCCTACGAAGGTCAGGAGGGTTGATGGAGGATAACTGCAACATTTATACTGTATTTATTCAGTAATAACCCACATTTAGACAGAAACTCAGAATATTAATTACTTTTCTGAGTTTGTCTCCATGTGGGTAATTGAACATTAAATATATATATATATTATATTATATATATATATATATATATATATAATATATATATATATATATAATTATATATATATATATATATATATATAAAATGTATATATATATATATTATATAATATATTATATATATATAATATTATATATATATAATATACCATTGATGGTAACAGAGTATCGACAACAGAAGATATCTATCGTGGCTACTAACGAATCCTTTATTCTCACCGAAATACTCTACAACAAAAAGGGGTATGACAAAACTCGAAATGGAGCAAAGAAGACACCCGAAGGAGTTACCAGTGCTATGAAGAGAGCACTACTGCTACCGATGGAGCTACTTATGGAATCGAGAGAGAGACGTGATCTACCCCATTTATTCCCTACGGAATTATCGAAGAAAGCCCCTTTTTGGATGAAGCTAAAAGGGCCTCTGGTGAATCTATTCTTAATCGAATTAATACCTCCATTTACACCAGGATTAGAGACTATTCCACGTGCAGGTGCACGAAGTCCGTACAAGGATCCAGCTTGACCTTTTGAGTTCATGATCTCTCCTGACTGACCACTATTTAAGCCTGTAGAGCTGTCGAAGGATGAATCTTTAACACGATAGGAGTTAATGGAACTTTTGGGGAATCCGTTTCTTACAGACCTAACCGTGCCTCTTACACCATGATTAGGAAATGATCCACTCGAAACGGAACTATGTAAACCACCAAAGGAATCATGACCGCCCGAGAAGTCCACTGTTCCTCCCACCCCACCACCACCATTGACGCCCAGGGAGCTGTCGAAAGTAGCACCCTTTCCGCCTAGAGAGTTAGAATTTCTGAAGAAACTTTTATTGAAATCATTAGCATTACCGTTTACACCATGGTTAGTAAAGAATCCACTATCAGGGGAGTCAAGAGAGCTGCTAAGGAATCTGTAGGATCACGAACGACATTCATTGATCTAAAGAAAGAATTGGGGAAGTCACCTGATGGATTATTTTTTAAGCCAAAAGAGCTGTCGAAGAAACCCTTATTCCTACCTAAGGAGTTAACTTATCACTGTCAAATGCGTTCTTAACTGGACTGACTAGATCATTTACACTAGGATTAGTAACTGGTCCTCTACTTTCACCAGCAACAGGGCTGCGAAACTTGTCTACAGTGCCAAAGTTGCCAACAAGGCTGCCAGAAGAGTCACGAGTTCACTTGAGCCACCACCAGTTACACTATATAAACCTTCAGATGTACCCTTGCCACCATAGGCGTTAACAACACCACTGGAGAATTCATTCTTTAAATCGTTATCAGTACCTCTTACTCCAGGATCAGCAAATGACCCACTAGCTGAGGCATCGAAAGCGCTGCCAAAGTTACCTTCAGAGCCAGAAAATCCATTCAAGGAGCCAGCAAAATAGTTCGAGTCAGCGAAGTCATCTGATAAAGTATTTTTAATCCCAAAAGGGCTGGCAAAGGAAACATCCTTACCGGCTGAGCTAGAAGAGCTAATGGCTAATCCCTTAGTTACAGGATTAGTTGTTTCGCTTTCACTTTGATTAGGAAAAGAACCACTACCCGGGACAACGAGAGAGTTCGCAAAGTAACCTACCGTATCAGGAAAGCTATCCAAGGACCCAGCAAGACCATCTGAGTTTATGAACCCACTTGACGAACCACTTTTTAACCCTAAAGGGTTCTCAAGGTAAGGATTCTTTGCTTCGAATGAACTGACAGAGCCATTGTCGAATTCATTCCGAACAGGGTTAATACCACCATTTACACCAGGATTAACAGAGGCAGCAAAAGAATAGTCAGACTCGCTTTTAGACCCGAAGGAGCCAACACGATCAGACAAATTAACAAAGTCTCCTATTCCACCACCATTTACACTAATGGAGCTATCCAAATAATCATGTTTTTGATCAAAGGAGTTAATAGGAATATTGGCTAATCCATTCTTAATCATATTAACAGTGTTACTTATACCAGCATTAGCGAAGGGACCACCTGCAGGACCACTGAGTGCATCCATGGATCCAACAAGGCCATTCGAGTTTCTAAGATTGCTTGAGCCATCACTGTTTACACTAGAGTAGCTGTCAAAAGAAGCATTCTTCGTACTGAACGAACTAATGGAATCACTTGCTAGAAAACTTTTAAACGTATTAATAGAGCCATGAGCATCACTATTAGAAAACGACCCACTAGAAGAGGTACGATTAAAACGACCGAAAGAGCCAGAAAAATCACCCGAGAAGTCGCTGAATCCACCTGGCCCACCACCGTTTACACCAAGAGAGCGGTCGAAAGAAGCATCCTTTCGACCGGAGTTAACAGAACTACTGGCGAATCCATCCTTATTAGAATTAACTGTGCCACTGCCACCTGGATTAAAGAAGGTTCCACTACCCGGAGCACCGAAAAAGCTGCCAAATGTATTTACAGAGCTACTGTTTCCCGTGGAACCAAAACGATTGTTCGACGAATCGAAAATATCACCGGTTGCATCATTTTTAACTCCGAGATAGCTGCCGAAGAAATCATAACTGCTATCGTATGATCCAAGCGAACCACTGGAGGAGCTATTCTTAATCAGATTAGCAGTGTCACTTACAACAGGAGTAGCTGAAGGCCCATGTGCAAGGCTACTAGGACCATCCAGGGAACCTGCCAGTACGTTTGCGTCCACGAATCCACGTGGACTATTATAGATGCTGAAACCGCTGTCGATGGAAGCACCCTTCCCACCAAAAGAGGTACCAGAACCAACGCTGAACTCATTGTTAACCGGATTAACTGTAGCACCTGCAGCTAGGGCAGCATCAGACTCGCTACCAGAGGCACTGAGAGTGCTGTTTAACATACCTCTAGTGGTAAAGTCAACAATTCTATCGGAAGAATCAACAAAGCCTCCTACTCTGTTACCAACCGAACTAAAGAGGCTGTCCAGAGCATTCTTTCCTCCGATGGGGTTAACAGGACCACTGGCTAGTACACCCTTAATCGGGTTAGTTATAATACTTAAGCCAGGATTAGAGGAAGGTTCAGCAGCGCCACTAACGGCATTCAAGGAACCAACAAGACCGTTTGAGTTTAAAAATTTGCCTGAATCACCACTATTTGTACTGAAATGTCTGAATAAAGAAACATCCTTTCTGCCGGAGTCGCTAACAGAACCACTAGCGAATTCACTTGTAATCATTTTAACAGAGCCCCTTACTTCAGCATTAGGAAACGACCCACTAGAAGAGGCACCATTACTATCACTGAAGGAGCCAGTAAACCGTCCGAAGAGTCAAAGAGTGCACCCGGTCCCTGAACATTTTGACCAGAATAACTGTCGAAAGAAACATCTTTTCTGCCGGAGTTAAGAGAACCACCTGCGAATTCAAAAATATTTTTGTTACCGTAACCACTTGCTCCAGAATTAGCAAACGATCCACTAAGGAAGGAACCATTAGAACTACCTGAGGAGCCAGCAAGACCGATAGAAGATTCAGTGAAACTTCTAATCCCACCATCACGTATTCCAAAAGATCTGGCGGAAGAACCATTCTTTAGATCGTAGTTATCAGAACTACTGGCGAATGCATTCTTAATAGTATTAGCAGTGTTGCTTTCAGCAAGAGTAAAGAAATTATCATTATTAGGATCAGCGAAAGAGCTTTCAAATGCGCGACGAGAGCCATGAATTACACCCGTTGAAGCTAAACGACCGTTTGATGAGTCGAGAAAGACACCAGATTCATCATTTTTTACACCAAGAGAACTATCGAAGGAAGCCAAATTTTCACTGAAGGAGCTAGCAGAATCACTGCGGAATTCATTATAAATCGGGTTATTAGTACCTTTTTCACCAGGATTAACTAATGACACAACTGCACGACCAGGATAGTCACCTAAGGAGCCTGCCTGTCCGTTTACGTTTAGGAACCCCCCTGATGGGCTGTTTAAGCTGACAGAGCTGTCGATGGAAGCATCCTTTCCTCCAGTGGAGCTAGTAGATTCTCCCTTGAATTTATTCTTTAACGAATTAATACCACTTACACCATAGGCATTGAGAGAGCTGTCAGCGGTAGTTGTAGAGCCACGAATGTTTGTTAGGGAACCGGCTAGTCCATTCCATGAGTCCACAGAGCCAGCTGACAAGCCATTTCTTGTACCAAAAGAACTGCCGTAGGATCCATCATTCCCACTGAATGAGTGAACAGGACTTCCAGGGAGTCCATTCTTAATTGGATCGACAGTGTTATGTACACCAGGGTTATGGAAAGCCCCACTACCTCCATTGGAGAAATCCAGAAGAGAAATCGAAAAAGTATGAAATCCTTGATTTATAAATTTTCTAGTATATCCTCTATGGCTTCCACGTAAAGTTGCTGTATTATCTGCGGCGCCTCCAGATCCTCCATTGAACAAAATACCGATTTGCCTCCCATTCAAAAATCGCCCTTGTTTTCCAGTAGACACGGCATGAACACTTTTGTGGTCTTCGGACGCAGAAGGATTTCTAAGATGGAGGAAGGAACCATGTGCTCTTCTAAATGTGAGTGCAAGAACAGCACAAGCAGCAATTAACAACAGCTTCTGAAATGAAAAATGTATATTAAGTATATGTAACGTGGAGATAAAAACATAAAAATGTGTAAGGAGTACGACTTATTATGGTAAAATAAATATTACTTTTACATTTTTGTGTCTGATATGTTCTCTGACGAGGGTCACTACTGCTTCCATTCGGCTGAGGAAGATTCAGTTCTTACCTACTCGAGTCTGATAAAAATGGAGACAATCCGGGCGCTAGCCTTGGGGTTCCTACGCAAAAAGGGGTTCTTATAAATAAAGGTTGTGGGCAATTTGAGCACAAAAGTGTGATTCTGTTTGGGATCATTGATAACACACACACACACACACACACACACACACACACACACACACACACACACACACACACACACACACACACACACACACACATATTGGAGTATGCGGCACCAGTTTGGAACCCACACCTAGCCAAGCACGTGAAGAAACTAGAGAAAGTGCAAAGGTTTGCAACAAGACTAGTCCCAGAGCTAAGAAGTATGTCCTACGAGGAGAGGTTAAGGGAAATCAACCTGACGACACTGGAGGACAGGAGAGATAGGGGGGACATGATAACGACATACAAAATACTGAGAGGAATTGACAAGGTGGACAAAGACAGGATGTTCCAGAGATTGGACACAGTAACAAGGGGACACAGTTGGAAGCTGAAGACACAGATGAATCACAGGGATGTTAGGAAGTATTTCTTCAGCCACAGAGTAGTCAGTAAGTGGAATAGTTTGGGAAGCGATGTAGTGGAGGCAGGATCCATACATAGCTTTAAGCAGAGGTATGATAAAGCTCACGGCTCAGGGAGAGTGATCTAGTAGCGATCAGTGAAGAGGCGGGGCCAGGAGCTCGGACTCGACCCCCGCAACCTCAACTAGGTGAGTACAACTAAGTGAGTACACACACACACACACACACACACACACACACACACACACACACACACACACACACACACACACACACACACACACACACAAAATGTATTCGTTATATAAGAATATCAACATGTAAATGTAATTTGTCATTTAATTTTTAATGGTATGGATCCCTTACAAGTTGCTTATGCGGAGGCTTCACCACAACTCTTCATCCTGCTCTTTTCTTAACTAAATTTTTTGGCAGGGCAATGATTTGTGAAGACCTCTGCTGGTGTCTTAACTCGCGTTTTCTTTACAAGAAGAACCAATGTAACTCGTGCCTCGCGTTCACAATTTTAATCTGAGATTTCACAGTACCGCGTAAGAAACTTGTCTATGGAGAAGTAAGAGGCACAATACAGTGGCTAGAATGATTCACTAATAACCCGCACATAAACTTAAATTTATGACGTGAATCATTCTTGCATGCACAGCCAAATGTCATCCATCTCTGTACAAACACTGTATCATGCTGAAATAAATATTCGTCTTTTTTCTTTTCACTAACTGGTCATCATTAACTGTGTAACTAATGGTTCAAGACAGACCAAACGTCGTCATAAGTTTTGGTCTCCTATGTATGGGTTGTGTGTGTATTGTGTTAGGAGTCCTGGGAATCGATTTGTCGACCTCAGTGACTAGACATTTAGGTTTGAATTTGAGTTAATTGAATTTTCTTTGTTATTAATGTATTTGGGTAACATTAAACGCTTGATAAAGGAAATTTGCTTGGTAATAGTAAAAGAAAATAAAGTCGGTTAATTGTTTGCAAATCATTTGGTAAGTAAAGTAACCATGACTGATATGGTTGAATATAGACAGATTTATTGGATGAAAACTGACGTAAATGAACATTGTCTCTATTACAGCAAAGAAGAAAAGGAGAGAGAAAGGAAGGAAGAATAAAAAATAAAAGAAAGAATGAAGGTATGTGCCTTATTTTCAGTGGAGTGCATAAATCTTTCTCCAGATGAGCTCAACACCAGTCGACCAGTTTACTGCTAGAAGAACAGGGACAACAGTCATTAGGAGATTTGCTCATATATACCAACTTGAGTAGGACTGAACCCAGGTTACTGATATTGTAAACAGAACGCGTTCCCACTGTGTTGTGAGCATAATAGTGATGTTCAGGTTCACACTGATCAAGAAGAAAGTGACACTGAATGGTGGAAACAGTAACTAAGAAACACTGAGAGAAAAACAAATATAAATTGTGAGACACTAACCATTTCTGAAGTAGTTGTCTATGGGGTGAGCCTCGTCGTCGACTGCTGCAGGAGAGTCCTACCCGAGGCTTTATATTGCCTTCAGCTCCACCCTAACTCACAAAGGCACAGCAAGGACTCAGGATACCTTTGTGTTGTGGTATCAGCGATTTTGTGAAGTGATTATTCCAGTGATATTAATGTTTCCATTCTATCATGATATACTTTGATATTTTTTAGCAGTACTGGATTTACACTGAGTAAATACTTTGTTTACTAAGGGTATTGGTATTTACATTATTAAATTAATGTCTAAAGCTTGTCGACAGCAGTTGGGTTGCTAAAGCTGCAAATTACCATCGTCCTAATACTAGAGAAATCAAAAGTAATACGTTTGTGTTATGATAAATTCATTGTTGTGGAGATTCTACAGTTTTATTTTGCTTCGTGACGCGGGTCTTAGTCATATGATGACCCGGCACTGGAGCTTTTGGTTATCTGACCGAGGCCTTCCGCTGGCTTACCGGCCCACTCCTTTAAAATTTAATTTCTATCCAGGAGACTGTACCGTATTCTTGTAAATAATATCAGGATCTTTAAAGAGGCAATAATACAATATGGTAGATGTGTGTGTGATGGTACATTCCAATTTTTGAGAAATGGTGGATATTATTATTCGTAGTTAATGCAATATGGGTTTTGAAAGCACTGGTGAAGTGCAAAGTATAATTATGTCATTTCTAGTAATGTCATATTGTTTCCTGAGTTGAATTTGCAGGCTCAGAGCATTTCTCCTGCCTCGGCTCATTTAAAAACCAATCCCTCTGTCTGAGGTAGACCTCAAACCTCACCCACAGCAATCGACTAACACCTATTTAGTGCTGGAATAGGGACAATAGGTGTAAGACTTCTCTATACCTTTCCGATCGTCTAGTACTGAACTTAAGTCCTTTCGGTTGTGAGCTGAAGACGTTACCACTGATCTATTTTTCTAGAGTTACAGCTATGTGAATGTTGTTTACCTACTGGTTTAGCGCTTCCAGATGATTGTAGTAATTGTGGAAATTGCTTATGTAATTAAATGATCAGATAATAAGGTTTCTGAGATAAGATTCCTTATTTTGGGTTTGATTAGATTATTCTAAATTCACGTTTATTATTTCAAAGGCAAAAGTAGGTTTCAATTCCTTGAATCAAGAGCCCTTCAACCATCATCGAGGCCTAATACTGGATGTGTGTCTAGAGAGTGTCTGGGAAACCTCCGAGTCATTATTGTTTCTGAGAAACCACACGAAGGTAAGTGTGGTTGTGGCTTCGTCTCAACACACGAAGGTAAGTGTGGCTGTGGTTCCGTCTCAACACACGAAGGTAAGTGTGGCTGTGGTTCCGTCTCAACACACGAAGGTAAGTGTGGCTGTGGTTCCGTCTCAACACACGAAGGTAAGTGTGGCTGTGGTTCCGTCTCAACACACGAAGGTAAGTGTGGCTGTGGTTCCGTCTCAACACACGAAGGTAAGTGTGGCTGTGGTTCCGTCTCAACACACGAAGGTAAGTGTGGCTGTGGTTCCGTCTCAACACACGAAGGTAAGTGTGGCTGTGGTTCCGTCTCAACACACGAAGTAACGAGTTCCAGTAAGCGTAAGAATTTTAAGAAAAAAATGACTGTGTGTATTCGTCATTTTAAAACCCATTAGACTAAATATAATAATAATAATATATAAAAACTCGCACTTACTGTAAGGAAGGTTCTTCTCCTTAATATGGAATTTTGGTGAAATGTTCCAGCCATTGTTTTGCGACTATTTTATTCAACAATAATAATCATAAAAAATATTATATTTATTATTGTTATTGTTGATGTTGTTTTCGTGTGTATTGGATTTTCATACGTAAGCTCTAAGCAAGAGAGAGTCATTCAGCCTGTGGAAAGCGGGAAGTAATCAGATTTGATTTGAACAATGGTTGGAAAACTTCAATTGTTTGGACAATGAGTCCTCAACCAGCGTAAAGACACCTCTGCCCGTCCCTGAATATCAGTCATTTCATAGGATGATATTTTACGTTTTTGACATAAAGACATAACTAATAAATGAGTCTATTGCTGCTTAGTTTTGACTTTCATCTCTCGGAAACTATCACTTAGTATGAAGCTTCCTTTATCCGGAACTACAGCGTTGAACTAATGCATTTTGTCTCAAAGACTCGAACTCAGAGTAAACTTTCCACTCTAGGTAATTCATAGGGTTGAAGTAAACAATTTATTTTCTTGAAATTGCTCTCTTGTTGAGCGACTGGTTAATCAAAATTTAGAGAAGAACGAAACTGAAAATTATTTTGTATGAGTTAAAAATATTGAACTTTCCTTTACTGTTATTATTATTAGCATTATTATTATTATTAGTAGTAGTAGTAATAGTAGTAATATTCAGTCCAATGGGTTTTATTGTGATGCTTCTTGAACAAAGATATTCGTTATTTCACACACACACACACACACACACACACACACACACACACACACACACACACACACACACAACGAAGTACTGGAAAGGTAATTAGATGGAGGTAAATGGTTCACCTAAGACAAAGTGTTTCGTTGCAGAAAATCTTTGTTACCTTAGACAAGTCCTGACCCTCGAACCCGCTGGAATTCTACGATACGAAAACGGAAATCAAGCATAAGAAACTATGCTAGGATAGCCGTACTTTCTTGGAGTGCTGGAAACATTAACACTGAACGGAGAATGATCCATAAATTAAGAGACGCAGCATGGGTATAAGAAAAGGTATTCTCAATAGATTAAAGAAAGCCTAGAGAACAAAATAGGGGGCTCTTCACTAGGAGCCTTTTTTGTTGGACGTAACTGATCTACCAGAGGCAAACAAATCGGGCACATCGTTGTTTGCTGATAAGGTGAAAATAATGACACGAAGAAAACGAGGAGCTTAAAAAGGGCTGCAGGAATGGTCAAACAAGTGGCGGTTGAGATTCAGTACAAACGAGTTAAAGGAATTGCAAATATAGAAGGGCAAAGGAAAACCAGAAACATAGTACAAAATTCCAATTAAGATACTACGAAAATCAAATAAGGCGAAGGATCTGGGAGTCATCATTACACCGAACATATTGCTAGAGGTCCATGTAAAGATAACGTTGGGAGTGGGGATTGCAAATACTAAAATTGTCTTTTGATACCGCAGATTTTCCTGAACACTGTACAAGATGTATGTGAAGCCTGACTTAAAATATTAACCTCCAGCATTACACCTTAAAAAATATGCCAGAAGCAGAAGAATTCCAAAAATTAACAGCTAGACTGATTCTGGCACTGTGAGGGTTGAATGGTGAAGAAAAGCTCAAGGAATTTAACTTCAAAGTCTTACCAGAGAGAGAGAGAGAGGGGGGGGAGGCCAGGCTAGGTTCAGTATATTTATAAGGACTTCAGAGTGCAAACTTGGGTGCAATGTTCGAACGAAGGAGATTGTCGATAAGAAAGAAAAATGGATGCCATTGACGCAGAGGAGGCATTTAGATGTTAGGAAGTATATTTTCAGCTCTATGCTAGTCAGCAAGTAGAATGACTTAGATGAGGAAATGGGGGAAAGCAAGCGCCATACCCATTTGAAATGGTAGGTACGACATAATCTATGAAAGAGGAAATTACTAAAACTGGTCATAAGTAGCCAAGATGTGTTGTCTTTTGCCGAGACTCGACCTCCGTAACCGCAAAGAAACACGTACACAAACATCATAAACATTTGCTGATTACACACGAACACTGAAAAAAAAAATTACATTCCTATGATGAACTTATCGTTTTCTTATACGTCACGAATAAACACAGAGACAAAACTGAAATGGAAATGAGTACGACATGTAACTATTGTATGAAGATGCCCTTTTACCAGTGTGAGTAGGAAATAATCAGCACTCGCTTTAAATGCTCTTTGTCCTCTTGTGAGTTCGTACGTGTACCATCTATCAGTGTTTATAGCACTTTTGTGTTTAAATTCCCCAAATGAATTACATATTTGTACAATAAAAGAGTATCTTTCGATGCATAATTATTTTTAATAGTTTTTGATTAGCTATTTTTTTAAGTCAGTGATAGTGTTTCATTGTTGAGTGGAGATATAAATGCATTAAATGTAATATTAATTATTTATTCATATAAATATGTATTGACTATCATATCTGATATTATATTATATAGCATGTAGTACGGAAAGCGGGTTTGCCAGTCAGAAACATTTATTCTATTATAAATATCTAAAATGACTACTGCCGTAGCCTATACCAGCAACGCCGATGGGACTAGGAACGCTCCTGAAGGAGTTACCAGGAGTATGGGATTGCGGTTAGCGAGGAGAGAACCAGGAGCCCCAAATGGGGCATCAAGGTTGTTGATGGAGCCATCAAAACCTCCGAGAGAGTTGCCAAAGTTACCTACAGTGCCACGAATTCCACCTAGGGAGCCAATTAGTCCATTGACAACAAAGGGGCGGTCGAGGGAATTATCATTGCCACCGAGGAAGATAACAGGATTCCTACTGAAGCCGTTGATAAACGGATTAACAGAGTCACTTAACCCCGTACTGGGAAGAAACCCAATGCTTAGCGGACCACCAAAAGTGCTGCCAAAGTCTCCAAAACCACCCGAAGACCCACTTATACCATTCGGGGAGTCTATGAAACCAAAGGAGCCTTCGAAGGGATTACCATTGTTGCCGAAGGAACTGGAGATACCACTCCCGAAGTCATTGATAAATGGATTTCTTGTGCCACTCACGCCAGTATTAGGGAAAGACCCACTGCCAAAGGATCCTTCAGAGCCACTAACACCACCTGAAGTACCACCTAATCCAATCGAGGTGTCTCTAAAACCGCCTGGAAAGCGACCATTGACGCCAAAGGAACCATCAAAAAAATTGTCATTGCTACTACCAAAGTTACCATCAGAACCACGAGCTCCACCAGAATTGAACCCAAGTCCAGTCGAGGAATCTCCGAAACTACCCGGAAAATGATCATTAGCGCCAAAGGAACCGAAGGAATTAT